TGAACTTATTAAAATCCAAACTACAGCTCAAGAAAAATTAAATATATAAAAATATCCTCTTTAAAGGAAATTTTAAAATTTGCTTAAAATAGGCATACTAGAACCTTTCTGTACTGGCATATCAGCTCCAGATGAAAATGCAAATCTAGGCCGTTAATCATATTATCTTAAGCGGCACTGAACAGTGTGTTTGGCCACTCTCATCTTCTAGCACTTATTTTAAAAATGTCTAGCCCGTGGAAGCAGAGTCACTAATTGGGAAATCCAGCACTACTCGGAGCCCTCTGCCCTCTGGAAAACTATTAATAGCAGCGCTGGCCATCACTGTCACAACAGCATGCCAGCCACAGACCCCTTCATGGTCTATTACTATTATCATCCAAATAATCCTAACCTTCCCCAAGCTGTAAAGTTCAACATATCCCTCAACAAAATACACAAAGCTGTTGGCTAAACGAAAGACAGAGGCAAACTCCACTGTCAACTAGAATGTTGGAATAGCTACCTGCTTTGTACAGCAGTCAAACCTTCGCACATTCAAGAGACAGGCTAAGGGAAGCGGGGGCAGCTAACTGCACTTTTAGATGTGAACACAGATCTTTATCACTGATACATGCTTACTTGCAAAACTGTAAATACCGTATGCATAAAAACGAGTAACTCTGGAAGACTACATACCAAATAAAAGCTATAATCAAAAGCCGTGCTGACTAACCTATAACATTAACCCTATGAATCCGCTGTATGCTTTTTAAAATATAAATGGCCCATTTTGTCAGTTGCCGTTTCTAAGATCATATTTGTGGTAAAATACAGTAAGACAGAAGGGGAAAGAAAGAAGAGGAAAAACAACCCACTACAGGATGTTGACAAGTGCTAACTACCAACGTTTTAGAATGCATTGGTTAGTTAGCGCCCCACACATCACTGAAATAATGCGCCAGGTTCCTCCAAGACCAGGTTACTTTGGCTTTCAATTTGAACCTACTCAAGTAACAACAGTCTAGTGTTACAAAATACTCATACCCTAAGCCCTCTTAGAAGAAAACCTGTGTACTTCCTAGTCTCAATTACCAAACAAAACAATTCTTCCATCCAACTCAATTGTTCTACAGTTTCATTTGCACAGATAATAGATTTGCTGTCTCTCCTTTTAATACAACTCCATGGACTATGGCCTAGAAATACCAACTATAAGGCAAAAAGTTAAGTACAATCCTGATATTATGCCTGGGTTACATATTATGTCTGGAACTATCACAGATCCCCAGAGATACTTAAATGTACAGACCTACCAAATGCCAAGTTGCCAAATCACCAGTAAGTAAACTCAGACTAGGTTTTTAATATCTTTCATTTATCCTAATGACTACTTTCTTAAAAAGTATTTCGAACAGACTCATGGAAATATTTTAACTGGTGCTCACAAATGGAATTAGTAAGAATGTGAATGCTGTCAAAGGGTTCACTCCACATGCCAAAACAAATTCAGTAAGGTTAGGCAGGGTTCTGCCTGCCTTGTCTGCCTATAACCCCAGTGCCTGCCATCTAGTAGATGCTTAACGAATATTCATAAAATGAATGAAATCTTACAACAAAATTCACGGAACAGCCCCAAGTTCAATGTTAACAGAACTGTGTTAAATCAAGACCTGCTTAAGAGAAAAAACATTTGCTAAGACTTGCGAATCTTCTAAACAAGGGTCAAACTCATTTTCACTGGGGGCCACATCAGCCTCACGGTTGCCTTCACAGGGCCTAATGTCATTTCAACTCCTTAACAGTTAAGGAGTAGTTACATTTACACAGTCCTAAAATTCTTTTGGCCCTTTGAAGGCAACTGTGAGGCTGATGTGGCCCCCGGTGAAAGTGAGCTTGACACCCCTGCTCTAAACAGTGCTATTGTAACAATATTTAACCTAACCCAGAAGATCAGACTGACAGTTAAAATCAATTCTAAGAAAGGTCTACAACTATTAATTTCTGTAACAGAGAGAAATTGCATTTTTATAAGATGACTAGACTATCCCAAAACCATGATCAATGAAAATTACAGAATTTTGGAAGAAAAATAAATCTTTGAGCCTAAATCATGAAACATATGGACTGAATTTCAGAATATCAACTGCCACAAATTTATGGAAACATTTTTGCATAATTATATACGTATGGAATTTTATGCTCCTTTTTCTGGCTATGCTAAGCAGTTGGCTTGAGTTAGAGAAGTTATGACTGATGAATATCATTCTCTTCCATTTTTATGACTTTCATCTACCGGAGGGGGGAAAAAATCAGCAAGGAAAGAGTTCACTTTGTCAATTTAAACAGTCCCTCTCTTCCCAGTTTTCAGTGTCTTCTACTACTTAAACCAAGCTTTCCTGGGTTCCCATCCTATTTTCTGACTGTATCATGGCCTTTTTTATTTTATTTTTATTATGGATAGGTATATGTGTACTATAGCCAAGTCTTATTTTCCCAAAGGTATTTTAGGAAGTAGGAAGCCCTTCCAAAGTGCTCCCCTGCCGAGCCATTCACACAGTGTTTGATGACTCCTGTGTCCCTCATCTAATGTGAGTTCTGTTAGAGTCGACCTGTTTCTATCCTGTAGGATACTACAGAACAGGTTCTAAGCAAATGTTATTACAATGAATGAATGAATGAATGACTTGGAAGGCTTTATAAAAACTCAGGTGCTATTTACAGCTCAAACTTGAAAACCTGCAAATAATAAATTCAGGAGCAAACAACACTATCTGATACACACAATTAGAGAAGGTGCTAAAACACATGCCCAAAACACTTTATTCAAGGGGCATACAATTACAGAAGATTCCTTAGGATGAGTTTCCCTGTATTCCATTACCATCACTGTGAATGATCTCAAAAACGACTGCTAAATGACTTCACTGTCTGGAGATACAGTTTTTCTCCTTGTTCTGAGAATTTAGAAATTAACATACTGAAATTATGAATGACTACTCGCCAAGGGCCTTACAATAGTCTTTTAAAAGATGGGGGGGTGGTACTGTTAGGGAAAACTCTAATACAAACACGTGAAAAGCAATTTTCCTGTTAGCTGTGAAAGACTGGGAAACTCTCACTGCAACCTCCCTATTTACTGGTCACAGAGTAAGAACTGGAAATCGGAAAATTTGTAACACCTCCATGCGCCCTGCGACAGGAACTACGGAGGAAGAAGAGAAGCACCACTGTGGGGACACATGTATCCACATGAAAGCAGGAAGTCCGCTTGTTGAGCTTGGGTCCAGCACCCCAGTGGGAACACCAACTTTTGAAAGCCCACCCCACCCCCGCAGTCCCCTCAGGCTCTAATCTAACCCTAAGGCCAAAGCTAGCCGGTCCGGAAAACGCGGTTTCGCCAGGCTGGTGAAAGGAGAAGCGGCGACTCCGGACACCTTCCCCTTTCTACTTGGCCTGCGGCGGGAATGCACTGCTCCGGGTTTCGCCAAAAGAGGAGGAGGCGGGCCAGACAGAGTCGGCGGCGGCAGCGAGAAGCGTTGGCCGAGAAGGAAGGCGGCTTGTCCACGCGGCCACAGAACTCACCGAACAAAGCACAGCGCAGACCGGTGGAGAGACGGGGAAAGAAGGGGAAAGATTCACCCCAGCTCTTCACCACCGCCCGGAGCTAGAGACAGGTGGAGTCGAGCTCCTCCTTAAACGCAAAAGAAAGACGGGCTTTCGAGGGGCCGATCTGAATTCCAGCGCCAAGACACCCGGAACCGAGACCTCGGCCAGGGAGCACACACGGGAATTAAGGGACCAGAGCTGCAGAGTTAAAGGAAGAGACAGTGGGGATCAAGGGAGGGAGGGAGGACGGACCCTGCGGGGGTGGGGGGTGGGGGGCCGGAATCCTGTCCCAGCTATGCCGAGGATACGGGTAGCGAGGATGCGAGTGGCGCGCTGCGGCCACCCCCACCCGGGCCTCCCTAGCTAAGCCGCTGGCCGCCCCCTCGCACCCGCGCCCTGGGCGGCCACACAAAGGGGATGGAGAAGAGCGCCTGCCACGGGGCGGCGGATGGGAGCCGGGGCTGGGATGAGGTGGCTGCCCCCGCCTTTGTCTGCCTCGCTCCGCGCCACCCCCCCCCCCACGGCCAAGGAGCCCCGCCACCCGAGGCGCCCTCACCCTGCTCGTTACCCGGGTGAGTAGCGGTCTCATCTGCTCGCCGGCCCCATCTGCCTCCATGGCCGGCCGGCCAGCCTTCGATGGCCGCTACGGTGTTACCCCTCGCGGTTCAACCACTGCCACCGCTGAGACCCCAGGACTCAAGGGGAAACGAACGTGTCCGTGCGCCCGGTGCGCACGCGTGGGGAGAGCCTGGTGCGCGAGATGCAGAGCGCGCGTGTGCACACAGCGGCCGCAGGACTGCCTCTCGCAGGGCAGCGAGGCCGCAGCGTGGAAGGAGGAGTGAGAACTGAGCGAGGATCCGGACAAGGCGGTGAAGGAGGAGGGAGCCTTGTAGAAGCCCGGGGGGCGGGACCACAGCCGTGACGCGCAGCCAGATCCCGCCCGACTGCCCCGCCTCCCGTGTCACGCCCCCTGCCAATTTGGCATCACCAGCCTCTACCGCGCATCCGCAGGCCCCACTGCGTGGCCACTCGGGGGGTGGGGCGCGAGGGAGCAGGAGGGGCGTTTGTCGCAGCCAATCGGCAGCTCTCGAGTTGCGTTCTAGTGTGCCCCACACACAAACACCCCCAGCGACCTCCTTTGGAGGCCCCGCCTCTCTTTATAAAATCCTAAGTGACCATAACTAAATGTCTAACTTGTTTTTCCGGTCGGAAGTTCCCCTGAAGTTTGGAAGTGGGCTGAGGGTCACCACGTCCCTGACTCCTGACCACTTTCTTTAAAGAAAGGCAGGAGGGAAGAAAGATGCCACCCTTTTTGAGGACGCTCACAGGAACCACAAAGAACCAATGGGTCTTTGGGACTCTTGCAGGTTTTTTTCATCCAGTTCAGTAGGCATGAACCCCAACTCCGGACCTGAGAAAGAGGAGTACTCCTGACCAGGTGTGCTCTGGGCTCGCCCCTTGACCAGACACCACGGTGGCTTCCATACAATGTGTCTCTCAAATACACACAGGAGCTGGTACCTGCAAAGAGGGTCATTGAAGAATTAGGTGAATTTCAATCCATAAATGTGCCTGACCCACAGCCTGCTTGTTGTAAGTATTATTTTTAACAGAGTGAGGAGCTAAATCAGTACTTCAGGCAGAACCTGTATTACAGCAGATCTGGATTGCATATCCTGTTTATCTGCAATGGGATATTAATAAAGCCTTTGTCAGAAATAGTTAAGGATGCTCTTTTGAGCCCTAGACCCCTTTTGCTCTAATGTCCCAGAGTTACTTAAAGGCTGGCATACATTATTCTCTTGTGTAAGAGCAAAAATGCTTCTATTATAATAGCTACCATTTAAAGAGGCCTACAATTAGCAACTGTGACATTTTGCAAACATGCTTCACCTCTAATCCTCACAATATTCCAAAATATGTTTTATTACCTTCTCTCTACAGAAGAGGAGATGAAGGCTCACAGAGATGACTGGTTTTAGATCCTAGTTAGTGGAACTGCTCTTTCTAATCCTTCCCTAAAGAAAGTTGAACAACGATAAAGGGAAGAAAACCTGGAAAAAAGAATGAAAAGGAAAGAATACGAGGTGAAAGGGGAACTGAAAAAAAATGTTTAAATAGCTAAATTTGTTTTAGGTGCCAATCACTTGTGCCCATTTCATCACTCTCTAAGGTGAATATGACTTATATTGAAGAATTAGTTTTGAACTCTTACAATAAAATTAGTTTACACGGAATACCCTCTATTGTGTTTCTCTGCTTTATATTTCTGTACAGCATCTATACTCTTGTAATAGTCTTCATATGTTACACTTTATTATGCTTACCGTCTGTACACACACACTAACGTAAGGTCCATGCAAGCAGCAATTTCTATGTTTTGTTTGCTGTCACTTGCTAGCAATCCTGGAAGAATGCTTAGCCCTAGTGAGCTCTCAGTTAAATGTTAAATGAATGTTTTGGGAGGAGACATCCTTTAGGACCTAAAAGCATTCTAGGTGACAGTTAAGGATATGGCCAAAGTAGTGATCGAATAAAATAGGAACCAAGACATTTGCTGCCAGAGTCGAAAGGGCTAAGTAGTCAGATTCAAGGACTTAAAACTATATGCTTGCAAGACCATGCTAGAAAACAAGTTTCTCTTACCCATGTTGTGAAAGGGGAAAAAAGGTAACTGCAAGATCGGTGGCTAAGAACTGAAGAAGCTGGGGAGTCCACCAGTAAAGCATTCCTTCCCACCCACCAGTCTGGAGGCAAACTGCATAGTGATGAGTGCTTTTGTGCTCTTTAGGCAAATTACCTCACCGGGCCAGTCTCCTTTTGGAAACTGTAAATTGAGGGTAATGGTACTCTCCTCATGGGTTTGCAAATGAAAATTAAATAAAGTGTTTAGCATACAACCTAACTTAAAAGAAATATCCATTATATGTTTATTATTGTTGTTATCTGGTTGGGAAACCATGAGGTGGAAGAAGGGTGGACTCAAGCTCACACAACGGGAAGGGCCTGATATACCAGGTTCCTAAGGAGGTTGCATTCCCATTAGAAGGAGAACTCAGGGGCAGGGACCATACCTGCCTCATCACTCGGAACATTCTGGAGTTCCTGGCCCCAGGATGGCCGCTTAAAAAAATACTGAATGAATGAGTGAAAGGTAAGGAAGTTGGACTTTTTTCTACGTGCTATTCCAGACCCACCATCAGAGGGTCTTAAGGAGGGAAGCAATGTGGCTATATTACAGACACAACCATGTGAAAGACAGGGTGGAAAGGAGAAATGCCAAGATCAAGGACATGTGTTCGCACTGCCCTGCTCAATGCAGTGACTACTGAGTACATTCTTGAAATGTTGTTAATTTTAATTAAGATTACTCCAAGTTTAAAAGTTTGGGCACACACAAAATGAATGTAATCTTGTTCCTATTATGCTGACATGTGGAAGTGATAAAATTTTAGATACATTGGGTTAAATAAACATTATTAAAAATAAATTTAACATTTTTGTACCTTTTTTTAAATGTGAAAATTTAAAACTACATATGTGGTTCACATGATACTTCTATTGGCTGGCCCTGGGCTACAAAGCCTGGACTAAGACAATGACACAGGAAATAGAAACTACAAGTTAGACATTAGAGATACTTTGGGAGTAAAATTGACAGAATGTAGTGACTCCTTGGATACAGAAGCTGCAGAGGACAATCAAAGATGGAGAGGTCGAATTGGATGTCCTCAAGAGGAACAATCAGAGATGACCCCAGGTCCATGGGCAGATCAAATTTGATGTCCAGCTGGAGATGGATAAATAGGTGTGAAACCAGAAACTGAGCTCTGAGCTAGAGGTACAAAATCCAAGGAACTTACTTGTCTTTGCTGAAGCAATAAAATTCTCAGGCAAGTACCCTCCCGGATGCTGAGAGGCTATTACTACTCAAGGAATCATCCAGAGGGAGAAAAGTGGTCACTAAGAAGTCAAAAGAAGTCACTATAAATCACTAAGATTAAGCTAAATATGACATTAAATCTATTTGTACATAATCAGATCATCTACAAGGTAACAGTACCATCATCACTATTCCTCTGGGTACCTCTTCCTTCATAAGGATGCTTCCCCTTCAGGACTTACCAAGCATTATAAGGGAGAAAATATTTGCAAACGAAACATCTGATAAAGGACTGTTATCCAAAATTGATATAGAACCCTTAAAACTCAATAATTAAAAAAACAAATTTTAGCCCTGGCTGGTGTAGCTCAGTGGATTGAGTGCCGGCCTGCGAACCAGACAATCGCAGTTCGATTCCCAGTCAGGGCACATACTGGGGTTGCAGGCCAGTTCCCTGCAGGCCAGTTCCCAGCAGGGGATGCATGAAAGGCAACCATACATTGATGTTTCTCTCTCTCTCTCCTTCCCTTCCCCTCTGAAGATAAATAAATAAATCTTTATAAAAAAAAAAAAAATTTAAAGATGGGTCAAAGACCTAAACCAAAGGAGACATCATCAAGTATCAGTGAAGCATATGAAAAAATGTTCCACATCACATGTTATCTGAGAAATGCAAATTAAAACAATGAGATACCACTACACATCTGTTAGAATGGCCAAAATCTGAAACACTGGCTACACCAAATACTGGCAAGTATTTGAAGCAACAGGATCTCTCATTCCCTACTGGTGGGAATGGAAGATGGTACAGCCACTTTAAAATGCATTTTGGGTCTGGTCAAGCTGGAGGCATAGGTAGACACGCTGTGCCTCCTTACACAACCAAAAGAAGGACAACAATTTAAAAACAAGAAACAACCAGAACTGACAGAAAATTGAACTGTATGGAAGTCCAACAACCAAGGAGTTAAGGAAGACACACTCATCCAGACTGGTAGGAGGGAAGGAGACAGGCACTCACAGCAAGGTGGCTGACTGTGGAAGGGGCAGTGTCACACTAGGGTGCAGATAAACCTGAAGGAACAACTTGGGAGTGAAACAGACCACCCAACCCAGAGCTCCATGGAGGGGAAATAAAGCCTCAAACCTCTGATTGAAACCACCTGTGGGGGTTGAGGCAGCAGCTGGAGAAACTCCTAGCCTCACATGAGACTTTGCTGGAGACTCCCACACAATGTTAGAATGTACACAAGCCCACCCACACAGGAATCAGCACCAGAAGGGCCCAATTTGAGTGTGGGTAACAGGGGAAGTGACGGAAATCCGGCAGAGAGGGGAGCAAGCGGCACTGTTCCTTCTCAGACCTCTGCCCCACTTAGAGCATCACAACGCAGCAATGTGGGTTGCCCCACCCCGGTGAACACCTAAGGCTCTGCCCCTTACTACATAACCGGCATGCCAAGACAAAAAAAAAAAAATGGCCCAAATGAAAGAACAGATCAAAGCTCCAGGAAAAAATACAACTAAGCAACAAAGAGGTAGCCAACCTATCAGGTGCACAATTCAAAACACTGGTAATCGGGATGCTTACAGAATTGGTTGAATATGGTCACAAATAAAATGAAAAAAAAAATGAAGGGTATGCTAAGTGTAATAAAAGTAAATGTAGAGGGAACCAACAGTGATGAAAAGGAAACTGGGACTCAAATCAACGGTGTGGACACGAAGGAAGAAAGAAACATTCAACCAGAAAAGAATGAAGAAACAAAAATTTTACAAAATGAGGAGAGGCTTAGGAACCTCCAGAACATCTATAAACATTCCATCATCCAAATTATAGGGGTACCAGAGGAAAAGAGAAAGTGGAAAAGTTATTTGAACAAATAATAAAGGAGAACTTCCCCAATCTGGCAAATTGACTGAAATAGACTTCCAGGAAGTCCAAGAAGCTCAGAAAGTCCCAAAGAATTTGGACCCAAAGAGGAACACACCAAGGCACATCATAATCACATTAGCCAAGATGAAAGATAAGGAGAGAATCTTAAAAGCAGCAAGAGAAAAAAAGACAGTAACCTACAAAGGAGTTCCCATAAAACTGTCAGCTGATTTCTCAAAAGAGACCTTACAGGCAAGAAGGGGCTGGAAAGAAGTATTCCAACTCATGAAATCCAAAGACCTACAACCAAGATTACTCTATCCAGCAAAGCTTTCATTTAGAATGGAAGGGCAGATAAAGTGCTTCCCAGATAAGATAAAATTCAAGGAGTTCATTCATCATCCCCAAGCCCTTATTATATGAAATGGTAAAGGGATTTATCTAAGAAAAAGAAGATCAAGAATATGAACAGTAAAACAATAACAAACTCACAACTATTAACAACCAAACCTAAACAAAAATGAAAACAAACTAAGCAAACAACTTGAACAGGAACAGAACCACAGAAATGGAGATCACATGGAGAGTTAGCAGCGGGGAAGTGGGAGGGAGAGAGAGGGTGAAAAGGTAAATAAGAAACATAAATGGTAGGTAGAAAATGAACAGGAGGAGGTTAAGAATAGTGTAGGAAATGTAGAAGCCAAAGAACTTATACGTATGACCCATGAACATGAACTAAAGGGGGAGAATGTGAATGGGAGGCAGTGTGCAGGGTGGAGGGGAATAAAGGGGAGAAAATGGGACAACTGTAATAGCAAAATCGATAAAATACATTTTTTTAAAAATACATAAATAAAATCTAAAAATAAAACCCAAAAATGTAGAAAAATATACAGGTGGGGCAAAAGTTGTTTGTATGGAAAATAATACAATAATTAATAATAATAATGCAAGAATAAAAATAAATAAATAAAATACATTTTGGGTGCTCTCCAAGTAGCTCAGTTGGTTAGAGCATCGTCCTGATGTACCAAGGGTGCAGGTTCAATCTCCAGTCAGGGCACATACAAGAGGCAACCAATGAACACATAAATGGGTACAACAATAAGCTGGTGTTTCTCTCTCTCTCTAGAAATCAATAATAAATAAATAAATAAAACTATTTTTCTAAAATACAGTTTGTCCATTTCTTACAAAAATAAACCATAGTCTTACCATAGAATGCATCAATTATGCTCCTAGGTACTTACCCAAAGAGCCAATAACTTATGCCCACACGCAAACCTGCACGTGGAGGTTTATAGCAGCTTTATAATTGCCAAAACTTGGAAATAACCAAGACATCTTTTAGAAGGGATCAAGGGAACTGTGATACATCTGGACAGTGGAATATTATTCAGCACCAGAAAGAAATGAGCTATCAAGCCATGAAAAGACATGGAAAAACCTTAAATCTACATTACTACATGAAAGAGGCCAACATGAAAAGGCAACATACTGTATGATTACAACTACATGACATCCTAGAAAAAGCAAAACCATGAAAACAGTAAAAGATCAGTGGTTGCCAGGGATTGGGTGGGAAGAGGGGATACATAGGCAGAATACAAAGGAATTTTAAGGCACGGAAAATACTCCATGTACCATAATGCTGTACCATATTCTACCTTCATCTAAACCCATAGTATGTACAATACCAAGAGTGACCGTAAAGTAAACTATGGACCATGGGTAATTATACTATGTCACTGCAGGTTCATCCATTGTAATGGTGTTCCGCTCTGGTAGGGGATATTGATCACGGGGGAGGGTATGTGTGTGTATGGGCACTTTCCCCTCAATTTTGCTGTAATCTAAAACTGCTCTTAAAAAAAATAAGGTCTTAATTTTAAAAAGAAGCCAGAGAATAAAGCTTCAGTTGGTGGTACAGAGAAAAATGAAAAATATTTTAACCTACTTTCACAGATAAAAACGGGTGTGTAGAGTATGTATTTAGATATATTCACTAAAACATCTGCAACAGAAAAAATATCTGGCAGTAATCACACATACATAAAATCGTTTTTATTATTCCAATAATATAAAGTATCACCTTCACTTGAAAATACCATTATAATTTAGGCCAACTACTTTGTTTTGGTTTCACAGATGGCTGCATCAGTCTTTCTCCATCACTTTATATGTATAGATATATCATTAAATTTGATAAATTAATGAGTGATATTAAAGAAAGAACTATAATTGCACTCCTGAGTAGTACCCAAGACAAATGATGCTATGCTCACAGAAAATAAAAATGACCTATACAAAAGTGTTTATAGTAACTTCATCCGTATGGCTAAACTAGAAACAATGGTAATGTCCTTTAAGGAGAAATACAGATAAATTAGAGTGAACAGACAAATTTTGGTACACCCATATCATGGAATAGCAATTCACAACAAAAAGGAAAAAACTACTGACACATACAATGATATCAATAAATCCAAAAATAAATTTTACTCACGTAAAAGAAGCCAGCCTCAAAAAAAGCTACATCCTGTCTGACTCCAATTATGTGCCATTCTTGAGAAAATCATGAGACAAAGCAAATCAAAGTTTGCCAGGGTTTAGAATGTGGATTGCCCATATTTTGGACTATAAGACGCACCCCCCAAATTTGGGGGGAAGAGGGTGGGTCTTACTCCAGATGTAGCTTTCCTGGTTCACTGTGGGGGGGGCGGTAAAGCAGGGTCACAGGTTATTAAATATTTTACCACATTTTTTGCTTCCATTTTTTTCCTATTTTCTTCTAAAACCTAGGTGTGTCTTATGGTCAGGTGCATCCTACAGTCTTAAAGATACGGTAGGTGTTGAATATGAAAGGGGCATGAGTGCAGTTCTGGGTGTGAGGGAACTTTTCTAACTCTTTTTAAAAAGATTTTATGTATTCGTTTTTAGAAATAGGGGAAAGGAGGGAGAAAGAGAGGGAAACATTGATCAGTTGCCTTTCACATGCCTCCAAGCGGGGACCCAGCCTGCAACCCAGGTATATGCCCTGACTGGAATTGAACCTGCAAGCTCTGGGTCCATGGGCCGGTATTCAGTCCACTGAGCCACACCAGCCAGGATGAACTTTTCTAACTCTCGATCATAATGGAGGTTATACAACTGTATGTATGCATTTGTCAAAAGTCATAGTACTGCACAATAAAAGTATGAATTTTATGAGTGAATACCTCAATAAGCCTGACATAAACAAAAAGAAACATACTGTATTAATAACCACACACACACACACACGCACTTATATTTTACAATCTGGGATTACTGGATTGTTTTTTCATCAACCTTATTTATGATTACACAGTAGTTATCTATTGTGCTAAATAATATATCACAGCATCCTTAATAAAATACTATTTTTAGAGCTTCAGTGGACCCTTATCAATAATTTTGGTTTCTTGCTTCTATATACAAAACTATTTGCATGCCTATTTCTGAATTCTTTTATGCACATATAATCAGAAGGAACTACCAATTACTGAAATTAAAGACCATGAGCACTATCACGGTCAAATAACACAGCAAGTTAGGAAGGGTCCTGGAACTGAATGCAGACTGGTTAACACTCAGCTTATGGTTTCTTTAACAATGCTGATTTTTTCCAAGTCGGTTCAGAGTTGTTGGTCACCACCGACACAGCCTTCTCAAACAGTGGCTGGAAGACTGTACTCTACTATTGTGTTAACAGGTGGCACGTGAGTAGTACGTACACGGCATGCACGTACACTTCAAGATGTGCTGGCAAATTTATTTTAAAGATCATTACGTGCTTTCATTTAGGCAATGCTCTTTGAAAGTCAGGTCCATATTGGTCACACCGAGGTACACGTGGGTAGTAGCTCACGTGTTGATTGCTTTCCAAAGACTGTTCTTAGTACTTGGGCTACGGAAACATTGAAAGGTCCTTCTTGATCTTTTTCTTTTTTTCTTCTCAGGAAATAGTTAAATCTCAGTAAACACTTGGTCTTTTTATGAAAGTGTTTCCTTCCACCGGGTCTATGACTAAAACTACAATGAATTTTGGGTAAGAATTCATCTGAACCAAAAGGGAAATCTAAAATCCCAAGGTTCCATTTTGAGAAACATAAACAAAGATATAATAAACTTTAGAGAGGCAGAGATGGAAGAAAATGTTCCTTGCCATAAAATTACACTCTCAGAATCAAGTATTACCATGCATTAGTATTAAACTATGTAACAGGACTGGTTTAGATCACCTCAGGAGATTCATAATTATCCCATTTTAATAGAACCTAAAACTGATGGGAAAAAAGGAGACTTCGTTTCTCTATGACACTGGACATGTCACTTAACACCTATTGACTTCTATTTCCTCATCAGTAAAATGCAGATAATTGAGGTCATAATCCCTTATTCACAATGGCAAACTCCATAAATTTCTGGAAAGTTCATGGTTTTTCATAACTCTTTGGGCTGCAGAAACTTAACCTAAATTGACAGAGGCTGTTTGTAGCCTTGACCTCCTTATTGTGACTACCCATATGTCTCATTACCAAACTACTGATGTGTCTGATGACAGGATGTTGTGTCAGACTCTGCTGTGGGTATTCCATAGCATACATCACATCACTTGCCTAAATTCTGAAATCTAAACTACCTTGCCTTATGGTCTTCACATAAAGGACCACAGGCCTATAATACTTGTTCTGCTTATTTCAAAGATGTCATATGTTGTGCAATAAGGTAACGGATAAGAAACTACCTGGCAAAGTGGATGCTGTACCTTCTTTAACCATCAGCAGCCATAGGGATTCTACTTGCTAGAACTCCCACGGTGTGGAAGTTTTCTTCTCCTGTGCTAGAAGTAGCTTTCAGCTTCTACCTGTCTTACAGCCTTTATTCCTGTCTCACACCCATGCTGTCCTTCTCCTTAAAGACTTCTTTGAAAGACAGCTCCCTGTGCTTAGGGCTTGGTTCCCATCCAGGGCCACTCTGGGTGTCTCTTGTTCTGTGGTTTTGTTCAATTCAGGCTGGTAAGGAGTTGCCAACAGAGAGTGGAAAGAAATCAGATCAAGTGAAAACCAGTCCTTGGGGTGCTTGCAAAAGCTCTTTATGCCTCCTGGAAACTTCTGTAATCTTCAGTGCCTGAGGCCAGAAGCCATAGACATGGGACATACAACCTGTACCTGTATGTGAGACAGTACTCCTACTTTTCTCTCTCTCTTTCTCTATCTCTCTCTCTCTCTCTCTCTCTCTCTCTCTCTCTCTCAGACACACACACACACACACACACACACAGAATCATTTGGTGGGAATAATAAGTTCATCCCATGTCACAGTGCACACTGGTTCATGTGACAACTCCACCTATATGTAATAAGTGTGTCCTTGTAACTTGGGGTCAACTAAGAAGGGCTGAGAAGTGGTAATCTTCTCTTTTACTTATCTTTCATAGCTGAGGTCCCTGAGACATTATGCTCAATTGAAGTTGAAAGTGGGGAAGGAAAAAGGAAACAGATATTTTTTGAGCACCAGGATTTCCTCTTTCCTTGAACACAATCAACCAGAATAAAGACTATGAATTTGGAAATGTTTCCATTTGAGAACTGAGAATATATCCCCTGTGATTGAGAATACTAGTATTATTATTTGCCAATGACTCACTAGGTATAGCTCCCCTTTAAATGCCAATTAACAATAGTGCTTATACTATGAGTGGAGACACAGACCATGGTTCCAGTCATAAGCTGCTCTTTGCACATAAAAGCCATGACTATTCGCCATCAGTAACACGGGATCTTAAAGACTTTGATGCCACAGCAAGGATAGGTTGATATGGCTTTTTCAATGTCCTACCTATGATATTCAGTTTTGAAAACACATTGTCAGAGTTAGGAATACAAGTCTGGGACCACAAGGAGGCTAATTGGAGCATCTATACATCATGCCCATTTTCTAGTGATTATTGGTCCCCGTGGATGCATCTTGTCAATGATCATTTTTAGCCTCTCCCACTAAAGACACTCTCTGAGCTTAAATTGGTACAATCTTGCTACAAAGCAATTTGGTGATATGTATTAACAGTTTCAGAAAAGAACGTGGTGTTCAACCCAATCATTTTATGACTAGGACTATCTATCTACAGATCAGTGGAAAGAAATATATTAAAAATGAACAATTAAATGATTAAAAGGAAATAGACTAAAATGCTAACAGTTTTTTTTCTGGGTGGTAGGATTACAGTTTATTGCTATATTTCATTCTTTATACTTGTCACACACATCTACAATGAATAAATTATTTTTGTATCTAGAACAAAGCTATAACCACCATTTTGAAGGTAAAATAGTCTAAAATACAAATGGAAAATTTTGCACTGTTTTACATTAGTGATATTTCAAAGTTAAACGAGACTTTAAAAAAGCCAAACCCATGAATAGTAACTCACCCTGAACAGTGTAATGACAGTAAAAGGATATTCACAAGTCGTAAAGAGATGCCACTTGTCTCCGTGAGGCTGAGTCAAAAACTGAATGCGTTAAACCAAAGTCTGCAGTGATGTCTGCCCAGTAGGCTGTGGGGGTCTGAAAGGAGAGGAATGTTAAGTTGTTGATAAATATTCTCAATGGTATCTTTTCTGGACTAGAAAAATACATATTATGTTTTTAATAGAGTTTTATATACTTTATATAGATGTTAAAATATAATTTTTTTTACAAAGAGAAAGCACACTGCAAGAGTTTCTGAACGTCTCATGTCTAGGAAATTGAACCCCGCTGGCAACTCAGCCCATTGCCTAGAAACCTAACGAGAGTTCCAGAAAGGTGGCGTTGGAGTCCATAGGTCACCAGCATCAGCAAACACAAAGTCGAATCGGAAGTTTTCCACCGGTTATTACAAGAGATCTTCAAAGACCTGCCAAATACACTCCTTTCAAAGAAAACCCTCTAAGAATACTGCTGGGTTGGAAGCTACACTTTTGGTCTTTGTGTGAAGTTCTATTTTACCAGAGTTTCCCAAATTGGCTTGTTCCTAAGAATCATCCGGGTTACTCTTGAAATATACAGATTTCCCTACTGATTATGCTTCAGCGAAATGGGGCCAGGGAATCCACAATGTTAATAAGGACCCTAGATTTACTCTAAGGACCATAAAGTTTGAGAAACATTGTTATTAACTTTCATTTCCTTTCCAGCACTTCTTGCTGGTTCTACTGACATGCTGTCCTTGCCTGTTTGATGATGCCTTGTCATCATGTCTGCCTCTGCCACCAAACAGTACGTTCCATGAGAGCAGAGACGGTGTTCTTTCATTTCTCTCCTGAGCACCACTACAGTGTTGGATGCATATGATTAGAAACTGAGTAAATATTCCTTGACTCAATCAGGGAATCGAAATTTGTTTTGTTCTGTCTAATAAGTGCCCGGTTCACGTCTGGACCATCCTTGGGATTTTAGGAAAAGCCCCACATTTGGAAAGCACTGTGTGAGTGTATTTTGGCAGGGCCCTTCTGTTACGTTAAAGAGAGTGCTCATGTGAACCTGGGGGAGTGTTGCAAAAGAGGACACGCTGACTGCCAGGCACGTTAAGACATCAAATTCACACAGAAAGGAAACATCCTGTCCATATCTACTAATCTAGCTAGATAATATCTATTACTCAGGCAAGCATATTGCATGCTGACCTGATATGGAACTAAAAAAAAAAAAAAGGAGAAGAAAATAAAAACCAACTTCCTGGCTCCTTTGAGGTCAATCTGGGGGAAATTCATTGCCAAGCAAGTGAAGGGCCAGTATGACTGAATAGGGCTCCACTTTCCTGAATATTTAGACCCATAAAAGAACTATAAAGGCAAAAAATATTATAGAAATCTGGGTTCTGCAACCCCACCCCTCGAATAAACTTTTCTCTAGTTTTTGGAAGATTAAATTAGAGATGGCTACTGAATATTAACTGGCTGAAATAAGGTACTCGTGTAGTAGGTACGTAGACCACACAGTAGGCCTACTGGGGAAGTGCAGTAAACCTTTGCACACCTAGACACTGAGCAGGTGTTTATAAAATGCTCCTGGATCAATTTGTCAGGGCAAAACTGATTCTGCAGAGTGGAATACGTGGACTGTTCTCGGTGTACCCCGTCTACTCTGCTGCCTCCCCCAGCCCAGCCGCACTTTCCAAGGGGAGGTCACCTCAGCCCTCACTTTGGGCTATCCTGACTACAGAAGCCTGTTACTGCTTCGACCTGCCCTTCGGATAAACTGAGGTCCCTGTTGCTCCCGACTCTTAACTGAGTCCTGGCTAAGCCTTCTCCAGCCATTCCCATGTAACCCCATAGAAAGGCATAGGTAGGGGCCAGCCAACGTACTGCCCATGAGCCACAGCTGACCAGCCACCTGTTTTTGTTGATGAAGTTTTACTGAAAGCAGTCATGCCCATTCATTTACAAATGGTCTGAGGCTGATTTTGGCATTACGACAACAGTCTTCAATAATTGTATCAGAGGTCTTCTGACCCGCAAAGCCTTAAATAGCCACTGTCAGGCCCAGGAGAGAAAAAGTTTGCCTGACCACCCCTGACTTAGATGCACAGGGCCAGATAATAATAATTACAGTAACAAAATTCAGTGCCATTTACCATGTGCTGGGTAGTCATCTAAGGTCTTTGGATATGTTACTTCACTTAGTCCTTATTCTAGTGGTGTGAGAAAACTAAGGCACAAAGATGTGAAGATGATGCAGCTAACCAGGGCCAGCCTAGATGAGAAAGATATTGTACACAAATAACTACGGAAGTATCAGTAATGGAGCGATTAAAAAACAAATAGGCTATCACAGTGCCCCAAACATGATGAGCAAAATTGTAATTCAGAAGCTCTAACTGAGCAGCAGATAAGTCATGGTGGGGATCAGAAAAACAATGTGGTCGTGGAAGCAGGTTATTACTAATATCCGTGTTCTGATCGGCTGCAGATTCCTCTTGGTATGAAGTTTGTGATGAAAAAAATAATGCTTAAGTGAAACAAAAAAAGGAAATTGAAATGACAAAAAAATACTTCCTTAGTGAAATGTATTTGCTATAGAGCTTCTACATTTAACTGCAACTCCTTGGGATATTCTTCACTTATTAAAAGTGATTCAAAATGTTTTTGAAACTTACATTTGGAAATTATCTTCACAGCCAGTTTACTAACTTAAGGAACCCAATGTTTTTAGTTTCTGGCTCCATCATTATAAAGTGTATTTTAGTCCTAAGTGGTATTATCACAATTATTTTGTTTTATGGTCCACTTTATTCACCAGATGTGGCCCACAGAGATTTTTGGCTTCTTTAAGAATGTAAATCTACCCCAAAGCAATTCTAAGGATACTCTCCACAGCCTTATCCGAATAGCCCCCTGATCCACACCAGAAGAACCTGGCATGCAGAAAGTGTTCAAAAAATATTTGTTGAACAAATGAGTGATTTTTGTCAATACAAAGTTCCAAGAATATGTTAGAAAATGACAATACTCTCTAGGTGAGTACTTTGAAGAAACATACATTTGATGGATCAAATTTCTTTGATTCATCCATTTAACAAATATTTCTTGAGAGCCAGGGGTAGCTACATAATTAGCAGGCCCGGTGCAAAATGAAAATGCAGGGCCCTTTGTTCAAAAAGTAGGAAAAGGGTGTTTTCCTTTCTTCTGCGATCTCCTCAATCTATCACTGTGTTATCTGCCACCCAGCATGGTGCTCCCTTAGGCGTGTGGCTACTGGAAGAGAGAGTCCATACACTCAGAGGTACCAAAGACTGTGTAGACCTCTACGGAGAGCAGGAGAGCCAGACTCACCCACTCCTGCTGCAGCTCCAAGAGGGGTGGGGGTGGTGGTGATGATGATGAGAAATGGGGGAGGAAGGGCAGCAGTGGTCATGGGGTGGAGGTCAGGGAGTATCCAGGGAAGTGAGGCTCCAAGCCCCTGCTTTATGCTCTATTGTTTCACTGAACTTCACTCCCAAAACCTTCACCCAAAGACAAATGATTAAGACGTTCAAGACAGCAACTGACAAGCAGTAAATCCCAAATGCACAGCTCGCTGCCAAGTGCTCATGAAGCTGGCCTTATTGAGAACCTGCTGTATGCCAGGCCCTGAGCCTACTACATGAACAAAGACAGGCAGTGCCTGGAGGGCAGATCAGAAAAAAAAGGGAAATTACCCTGCAATGTTGAAGGAAGTCAATGTGAACAGGCAGAGCCCAGGGGCTTCAGTCCTGGTGTCAAGGAAGGAGTCCCAAACACAGAGGCTTCTAAGTGTAACTTGCCAATGTATAGGAGGGATAAAACTAAAGGTAGATTTTGGTCCAAGGGAACAGCACTTGGAGAGCTGGAAGTAGAGAGCATGGGGCACTCCATGGCGTAAAGGGCCTGGATAGAGTGGGAACACACATTTCAGGCCTGGCAAGTGGGGAGTGGGGGCTTTTTCCATGACGTTAGGGAGTTCCAACGGTTTCTAAAAACAATGAGCTGCCATTGAGAGGGATTTAAGATCAAGTGACTTGATTAGACCTGCGTGATATAAACCACTCAAGTTGCAAGGAAAATGAGAAGTTTCAGAACCTGGAGGTTTGGAAGGGGGAGCAGTAAGGGTCAAAGGAGAGGAAGCGGAGGGCAGTTTGGGGATATTTGGGGTGAGGGCGATGCTGGATAAGTAGGGGGCCTCACACCGGGACAAGAAAGGCTTGGGAGAGCAAGGACTGAGGTGTGTCCATTTCATTTTAATACGCACCTGGTAGATAGAGACCAGAAGTACCAAACGGAGCAGGCTGAAGCCTGCATCAAGTGAGCGTCTTTGGCAGGTCTCAATTAGCAGCAGGCTCTTACCACTCATTGTTCTAAAATTGCTACATAGCACTGAGGCTTGAAAGTTGCTCTGGAGCTTAGGATCACCACTCAGTTCCACACCCTGCCTTACAAAAGAACTTACTCTGCAAAGTAAATATAATAACACAGAGAAAATGTTATGTGAGCGATTCCGGGACTAGACCTGGAAGGTAAAGTATGAAGTCTCATGTTTCATCCCCTTTAAAAAGCACAGGATATGTGCTTCTGTGTAGTCTTCGGGGCTGCACATACAGAATAGCATCATGGGCTGGTAGAGGTCGGGGAGATGGTATCCTAACATGTTCCATTTGCCCGACGACTTTTTGAGTGCATGATGTGTCTACCATATTTTAGGAATCCCTACCTTGCTTGTCAGGTGTAATAAAAGTGATTGAAGGTTTCAAACGCAATGTTGCAATCATGAATCTGCGTTTGCTGAGCAGTGTGAGAACTGCTATAGGGGATACAAGAGCTGGTCAGAGAAGGTGGCTGGACATGCAGAGTCCTGGGCACTGGCACACAACTAAAGTTCAGGAAACACAGTTGTTAAGATCGCCTTCCTGAATTTGAGAAGGCTATCATCTGAGTTAGGAGAGCCCTAGGAAACCAGGGAGGGCAGAATTTTTAGAAACTGCTACATAATGGGGCATGAAATATAAGAGCTGTGAGGTTTCATGAAAGAAGAGCTCCCAGCACCCTTACTGTTCTCATACATCAGAGCACTGTTTCATTTCACTAGATTATAATCCATTGCTCTCCTGCCTTCTGTGTTGAATCCCAGGAAGTTCCGTAGGCCTAGGAACCCAGCCTACTCATGGCTGCCTCCCTCTATGCGCTTTGCACCTTGTACCTAAAACACATAATAAAGCCTTGTTAAGTAAATGAAGTAGTTCAACATCTTCCTCTCTGATAATATGACCCTGGCTGGTATTTTCCCAGATCAATTTTTAGGGGGATTTTTCCTAAGAAAAACAATCGAGGACATTCAGGGTCAGGACATGCCTTGTGCTGGTCTTCACTGCAACATGTTGAGAACCTAAATGGCTCTGCAGCTCTCTGTGGGGGGGAGAGAAAAGCTGTCCCTGCTCACACGGCAGCCATCTGAGTCCAGGACAAGAAATGAGCGCTCCAGGAAGTGAGCCGATTAAATGTTATTTCCTCAGCTTTGAGGTTAATAAATGAAATATAGTTAAGGAGTCGAACCGCCTCGGATTCTTACATTCCATAAAGTGGTAGACATCATGGGTGTCCTGAGATAACAGTAAAAAAGAACCATGGGAAGTTTTCTCCTTCTGCCCCATCACGCTGGCTCACCTTTCAATGCCGTACGTACAATGTGACGTGAAAACCAGCAGAGAACGTTTCTCTTTTCTTTCCCGTTTTGTTGGGTGGTAAATACCATCTGGAGCTTGGTGAGCAGTGAGTAATACACCTGGCACAGGACCAAGGTAACTGCCACCTGAAAACTTTCCACTCTGCTATTATTCTCCAGCTCAGGAGTCTTACGGTCCCAATGAGTGAATGGAGGAAACGGCCCATGTTGTCTTTCACAGGACTCTTCCTACTGCAGTAAGTGCCTGCATAAGCTACTTTCACCTCTCAGTTTCACTCCTGTGTGTGTAGCCCACACCCAAATGTTTAATCTCAGAATGATTTCCTCTTGTTTCTCAGTGCATACCTCAGTTGTTTCTCCCCTGGCCACAACTAGACTCATCCTTTTCCTTTTTTTTTTTTTTTTTTAATTCATGCAAGCATACGTTCATTGATCTTAGAAAGAAAGAAAGGGGCGGGTGGTGGGAGAAATATCAGGCGCTTGCCTTCCATATATGCCCCAATTGGGGATCAAACCCACAACCTAGGTATGTGCCCTGACCAGAAACCGGACCTGCAACATTTTGTTGTGTGGGACGGCAGTCCAACCAACTGAGTCCTACTACCAGCCAGGGCTCAACGAGGCTTATTCTTGAAGATGAAGACCAACTTGAGAACCGTCACAAGCAAAATGCATTCAGGACTGTCAGAGAGCAGAGGCCGCACTGCCTGGTTCCTGCACATGTCCCTCAGGCTTTATTGTCAGGCTTCCAACGGTCAGCACCTGCCTCTCTGTCCCCAAGTCCACTTCCTCAGCCCAGGGAGACTGCTCTACCTGTGTACTAAGCAGCCCTGAAGTTTAGGAGCAGACATCACCAATGACCAATAAGTACTAGTGATTCACGGGCTAGCTTCCTTGCCCCTCAGTTAAGATCATTCTGAAGTGTCTGTTTTCTGCTTCACAGGGGAGTCAAGCAGGTAACATACCTTTATCAGCTGCATTCTCAGGCCCTGTATTCCGGTACTACACTAACATTTCCTGCAACTTTAAAATGAACTATTAGCCCTTGAGTCTTTGTCAACAGGATCAGCTTCTGGGGAAACCCAAACCGAGATGGTCAGCAGGCTCCTCCCAAAATTCTTGAATGGATTCCAAAGCCAAATATACATAACTTTTTAAATCACCCCTAAAATGATTAAAGGTTGACAATCTGTAGGTAAGCCAATACTCAAATTTCCTAAATTTAAGTTCTTTCACTCACAGCATCCAACTTGGCTCGAAAATGTTCTTCCGACTGAGTGACCTCTGCTGGTAAACAGTTCAGCAGACCTCTGCTGGTAAACAGAACAGCAGAAATGATTTCCAATCATTTCAATGTGCTTTGAAGGTCATGGCACAAGCCTCTGAATCATGATTCACAGGTGCTTTCCACCTGTGAGGGACCAAGTGACCTTAGCCTTTCCAATGCCTCCATTCAACTGGAATGTGCTCTGTTGTGAAGTCATAGCCAAAGAGCTGGTCCACACAGATGACATGTGTGTATTTGATTATTCTTCACTGCTCTTTGTTTCCCTGTTTACCCCAAATACTGGTTTGTTTTTTTTCTCCTTTTACTCATATTTCTCCCTGTTTATTTCTATCTTGTCATTGTTCTCCTTATGGCAAAATGATACAAGCCCATATAATGTGTATACAGTGGAAGCCATGTGCCCAGCAGATCTCTCTTGGACCAAGGAACTCACTCCCACAGCTAAGGGATCACAGTAGCTACTAATGGCTCACAACTCAGTTCCTTCTAAGGAATTGTCCTCAGCTGAAGGAAGCTGCCTTGCTCAAGGTTATACTCCTCCCTGGGGACAGCCAACATCCAAAAAGGCTCAGACTCCAGCCCTGGACAGGTAGCTCAGTTGGTTGGAGTGTTGTCCCATACACAGAAGTGTTGCGGGTTCACTCCTAAGTTGCGGGTTTGATCCCTAGTCGGAGCAGGCACGAGAGGCAACCAATCAATGTTTCTTTCCCTGATCGATGTTTCCCTCTCTCTAAAAAATCAGTAAACATATCCTCAGGTAAGGATCCAAAAAAAAAGGCTCAGCCCCTTTGTCTGAATTGGAGCCACCGCGAAGGAGCACCCCAAAGGTCCGTGTAGGCTCAGTTTACTGATTGCACCATGGCTCACCTTCTCCTTCTGCCCCATCCTGCTTTCCTTACCCTCCGTAAGTCTAGTGCCTGAGAGCACCTCGAATTAAACAGCTGCTCAGAAATCTCAGAATCTCAGTCTCTTTCCCAGGAACCCGACCTATGACACTTCCAGGTAAAATTAAAAAATGTATAGAGATAAAAATGTGTTCATTTAAAATTTCTATCATCTGGGCCCTCTGCCTAGTGTGCGGTAAACTGGTGTCATAAAAACTTGGAAGGTGCCCGTGTATATCTGTATATTTTACTACCAAAAACATGTGGAAAAATTAAGTTCATAGATTTAGTTGAATCATAGAAAATAAGTGTTAACAACACCTGATGTATGGAAGGAGCTCAACAAATATTTTAAATCTTTAACTCAGCTTTCTTATAACAAAATATGATTTACACTTGTCTCATAATTCAGGGCTTCAAAGATTGTATATTTTCATAGTAAATAATTGTGTGTTTTTAATAAAAACGTTCACTTGTTAATCTATATCCAGGCAAATAGAACTATTTAAGACAAATTATTTCTTTAACTGCAGAAATTATCTTATTAATTTCATCAAGTGGGATCAGTTTCTTTACCAGAACTCTCACTAAGTTACTATCATCTCACCATATATCGCAAAATCAAAATCCACAAAAATTGTCCCAAAGAAAAGACTGTACAAATAAGATGGTTCACGCTATCCAACTGCTGTTCAGGCTATGCCCTACCTTGACTTTTCAATGATTGAAACGATAGATGGAATATAAACAAGGTTTATTTCATGGAATGAAAATTTGAAAATTTAGCATACCTGAAAATAATCCACCGTCCTGAATGGGCACAATGTTTCTTTCTCACAGTCTTCATGATGGAAACAGTTCCAATGTCCTTCTGTTCATCAAGCTCTTGTCACACCTGTTTTCTTCCATTGGCAAATGTATGGAAATCTTTCCTGGTAACTTTTCCCAAACTCAGACGTACTTGCTGTGGGGGTGGGGGACACATTTTAAAGAAGAGATATCACTACCGATTAATGAACAAATTAAAACATAAAAATAGAAAGTGAGCCAATGCTAAGCTAAAGATGAGGAAGAAAAGAAAAAAAAATCATGGTTCTGAAATGATGTTTCCCACGCATACGGTGAAGGCACGCACACCTGTTAGTGTTGTTGCATTGTGGTCCTTCAGTTGCTAGTTATTCAAATGCCTTATTAATTAGGGGCATGCTGGCAGCTGTAATAAACAGACATCAAACTATTTAATACCCTAGCCTAATAAAAGTTTGTGTCTTACGCACACGAGTGACTTCTGGGTGGGGGATGGTTCTCCGGCGTGCTCGGGCCCCTTCGTATTATGTTTTATCAGGTAGCTCCCTCTTCCCCGAGGCCTCGCTTTCATCAACATCCAACCAGCAAAGGAAGAAGTAGAGCAGGGATAAGACATACCTATTTCATAAAAGGCTTGGCTCAGAAATGGCATAAATCACTGCTGCACATGCTCCGTTGGTTAGAATCTAATCTTGCAGCCACAACCGACTACAAGGGAGACTGGGAAATGTAGTCTAGGTGTGTGCTAAGGAAGAAGTGGAAACTCACTTTTGTTCAAGAGCTAGGAGACCCAGACACAGAGCCTTTGTTCAGCTTAAGGAAACGAGAAAATACCAAGCTTCTCAGACCACACTAGGGGGTTCTTAAAGGCGACAGACAGCTAGCTGACTGCTAGAGAAAGTCAAGTGGGAATCCACCTTCTTCAACTTAATCAGCATGCCTCAGACTTAATATCTAAAGGTAATTCTAGTCTTTCAGAAAGAGTTGTACCAAGACACCAAAGGAGTCCCCACAGTAAAGCACTTTATCTCTTCCAGGCAGGAGAGATGGCAGCTGACTGAAGATTAAGTTGGTCTTTTTCCTCCTTCCCCCTTCCAATGAAACAGTCACATTGTTTGAAAAGGTTTCTGAGATCATTATCCAGATGCCTCCTCCCTCTGACACCACCAGTCTGGGCACTAGAATTTCAATCACGAAGTTCTGTGAAACTTAACCAGTTCGTTCTCTGCAACATTTTGTCGAACAATGCAATAAACTCCTCATGTAAAATGACAGTTAAGAAAAAATCACTTCTTTTGACCAGTTCATACAAGAAACCAGCAAACCTTTCATTTCAACATTCAAGCCAGAGGTCAGAATTTTATTTGAAGATGACAACTTTGTGGTTAATGGTATGTTTTTCTGTATGTACTCTTCCAGATGAACAACAGAGTAATTGGTCATTCTGAAGATGGCTTCTTACAGCGGAAGAGCTTGCGACCCATACTATATATATTTTTTAAGTTCAAAAAAGACATTCCTGAGGGCAATTGTGTTTAGGTTTACATGAGTCAAATGCAACTGTCTGTGTAGGAGGCTTCTGCTTTGTAGCCTGAATGGTTAACTCAGGCGTGTCTACACAGAGAAGAGCCAACGATAATTAGGAGTTGTCTGTGAACACCACCGCACAGATATTATCAGTGTTTACCAGTGGTGTCTACTCATATTTACAAATCACTTTATATTGTTCATGAGAGTATCTTACCTCAATTATTTATTTGTAAGTAGTCATATAGCATGGGTGGCGTT